TGGAGATTGGTAGTTTTTCTTGCGGGGGAGATATTAAAGTGTGGAAGAGCATGGGGAAAACTTCGTGCATAAAGGTTTGTTTGATTTTTCAAACCTATTTAATTCTGAAACTGAGTTCTTCAAACTAAGGTATAAATTTTTAACATCACTCTTGTATCGATAAGGAATCAACCCAATGGAAGCTCTGATACCAAATGATAAGGAATCACTACCAGAAAAGTAAGATTCAAATTATCTTATTGATTGAATATCTCAAGGCAGAAATATTTGTTTGAATTTCGAATCACTCTACGAGCAAAATTATGATCAGTTCTTGAATGATTTTAAACATACAACTTAAACTATATAATTTTGCAAAGAAACTTAGCTTCTGGCTAAATGAAAGTTAAGAACTTAGCTTGTTAATTAAATGTGTCGTCAAGTCAAGAACATTTATTTAAGATTTGAATCACTTAGTAAGTTAGATTCATCGTGTCAAGATGATTTTAAACATGAATGACAAAAAAAAAAACTTCGCATTGGTTAAAAGGGAAATCACAAATTCTCCTTTTACTACTTTATATAGCCTCAAAATGCACTCCATCTACTACCGTAAGTCATTTCAAGAATTTGTATCTTGAAGTGTTTGTTGCAAAAATAAGACTTGATTCGATTACAACTTGAGTTTAACTTTAATAGAACTTGACTTGATCTTGAGCTAATTTGAATAACATTCTTCACAGCTTCCTTCAAGTTCAGTTCATATTGTATTATTGAGATGTCTTGATTCATATCATATATGATGAATATATGATCAACAACAAAGTCAAGACAGTTCTCGTGAAACCATAACTCATTCAGTGTCACTGTGGGAGAAACCATAACTCATTCAGTGTCACTGTGGGTTTGAAGAAAGAAGGCTGTAACAAATCAGCCAAGGGCCATGCCACAAAGATATTCATCAGATACAACCGTGTAAGCAATGATATCAAGAAAGGGACTCAGATTCGTTAACAGAAGCTTCGGCTGCAGAGTTTTGGGCTTCTAATAGCTTCATTTGACGCTCAGCATGTTCTCTTTCACAGGCACTGATTCCCATTATAATATCAAGCATTGTACCAGTTGTGCCAAAAAACACAAGGGGTGCCAGTGACTTCCTCTTTATTCCCACTGGAATTGCTAGCAACGCTCCTGCTACTGAGAATACCCAAGTGCCCAGCGCACTGTGGAATGCACAATAATCAATCAAATCTCAAGAGAAAATCCAGTTGAAAGAACAAAAAAAAGAAAAAAAAAAAAACGGAACATGGTGTATTATAGCCCAAGTTCACCGCTAGCAGATATTGTCCGCTTTGGCCCATTACGTATCGCCATCAATCTCACGGTTTTAAAATGCGTTTGCTAGGGAGATGTGTCCACACCCTTATAGAGTATGTTTTGTTCCCCTCTCTCACCGATGTGGGATCTCACACGGTGCTCGAATGGTCATGCTCACCAAAATTTAAACCGTGACTACCAAAAAGTTAAAACATTTGACACAACGTTTCGAACAAAGTTTCTGCTTCCATTTGATCCAGAAACACAAACAATGGGATTCTCCCTGGGTTTAGGAAAATTTTGCTCAAATTTTATGATAAGCAATTTGGGATTTATTTGCACAACAAGATGATGCTAATAATATAAGATTCAAGAGAAATTCTTCATTTTCAAGTCTAAAGCCGTGTAAGAGAAAAGGTAGGAGGAGAGAGCTTACTTTGAAACTGAGCACTCCTCAAGATGCTTCACTTGTTCTTGGCTTCCCATAGCTCTTCCTCAATTACTAATGAAAAACAGCAACAAAATTAAACTCCAAAATTAGCTCTCAACCATATGGATATCAAAAGTCAAGCACCAAAAAATCTCATAATTAGAACGATTGAAAGGATCATCATCCGAGGAAATTCTACTCGGATTTACATATATGGTTGTCCAAAATAATCCATATTGATTGGTCGTGGAATTTGGACAACTTGACCCTGAAATTTATATACACAAAAACAGCAAATAGTTAAGATCCCGCATCGGATGGAGAGGGGAGCGAAACATTCCTTATAAGGATGTGGAAACCTCTCTTTAGTAGACGCGTTTTAAAACTATGAAGCTGATGATGATATGTAATGGGTCAAATTGGACAATATCTACTAGCGGTGAGCTGTGTGCCAGCGATGACGCTGGCTCCAAGGGAGTGGATTGTGAGATCCTACATCGGTTAGAGAGGCATTCCTTGTAAGGGCTTTGCTAGCGGTGGATGGTGTGTTAGCAAGGACACTAGGCCCCCAAGGAGGGTGGATTGTGAGATCCCATATCGATTGGAGAGACATTTTTATAAGGGTTCTGCTAGCGGTGGGCAGTGTGTCAGCGAGGACGCTGACCTCCAAAGGGTGGATTGTGAGATCCCACATCGGTTGGAAAGACATTCCTTATAAGGGTTTTACTAGCAGTGGGCAGTGTGACAATGAGGATGCTGGCCCCAAGAGAGATGAACTGTGAGATCCCATATCAGCTGGAGAGACATTCCTTATAAGGGTTCTGCTAGCAGTGGGGAGTGTGCCAGCGACAACGCTGGCCCCTAAGAGGGTGGATTGTGAAATCCCACATTAGTTGGAGAGACATTCCTTATAAAGGTTTTGCTAGCGGTGAGCAGTGTACCAGCAACAACGCTGGCCCCCAAGAGGGTGGATTGTGAAATCCCACCTCGGTTGGAGAGACATTACTTATAAATAAGAATGTAAAAGTGTGTACTTCTAAAACCATTCTAACTTCGAAATAATTCATAGGTTTTCAAGAAAAAATGGATATCCAGAACAGTTTGCAGTCGGGAATTCATCAATGGTACACATACAGTAAAACACCAGTTCCATCTTTTCATACAAAATGGATAAAAATCGACGAAGAATTAGTAGTTCTAGGTCAAACTTCCGTCCTCAACAAATTATCAATAGCGAAGGCTCTAAAAGCCCAAACCATAAACCTACATTTCGATTTGCAGTCATTCCTCAACTAGCATCACCTTAATTGACATCGAAGCCACAACGATCAAATTTTATGAGTAACGATGATTAAGAACACAGTGCGAGATAATCACTCCTATTTGCTGAAAAATCGAAGGCAGATAGATGATTGAAGAAAACAAAATCAAATTGATCGCAGACAGAGAGGAAGTGAAGCTAGAAGGAGAAGAGATGAAAAGGAGATTTTCACGCACCTGAACACTGGTTGACGGCGAGGATGACGCTTCTCCGGCGAGGAACTTTACAGACTTTCGATCTGGGGATGTTGAAATTAGTATTATTGCGAGGGTAAACTAAAAAATAATTTTAACTTCTTTTAAATTTTATATTTATTCTTATAAAAATGTAATTTTAAAAATTTTTAATGGATTTTTTTTAAATATAATTTCTATTAAAGAATTTAAATTATTCAAACAAATTAAATAATATTTCATAAAAAAATAAATATAATTTTTAAAGTATAATGTTCCGCACTTAAATAATAATAATTATATAACAAATTAGTTTTTGTGTTTTATAACTGGATAGGAATTTGGGTGGGGTCGGGGTGGTGACGAGATAGAAATATAATCCCTATCTTCAGCTCCGCTCCGTTGAGCTAATAGAGAAGTCTCTCTCCACCCCATCTCATTTCACTGTTTGAATAAAGATTCCCTGACTGTTCGAGATGGGTTCCAGTTGAACGAGTTAAACAAACTTTTTTTTTTGAATCGTACCCCTAAATTAGTCTTGTTGGTAGAATCTTCGAGTGTCAAACAGATAGATTCTTAGTCAAACTAACTCTAACGATCTAGCTATATGTTTTAAAGAAAACAAGTTAACTCTCGTAGGAGCGCTATAATAATAGATGACTATTCGAGGGAGGCTCTATGGAACGTTATTCGAAGTTGAGATTAGTGTTAGGATGCAACCAAATTCCTAGAAAAAGATCACGGGTGCAGCTAAAAAATAAAAACTATGAGATTAGTGTTAGGATGAAACGTAGACGATCGTTGTCCCAAAAATATAAATTCTACTAGAATCTCTTCGATTAGTTTGTATGTAAAAGTCGAGATTTATATGACGTGGTTGAATTTATCGAAAAATTTTAGCATTTTTTTTATTCGGTATACCCGTGCTTTTGACAAATATCACAAATTTTAAATATATAATAAAATGGATAGAAGAGAATTTTAATTTTTTTTTCCTTTTCTCCCTTCTTTTTCATTCTTTATTGTAAGTAATATAATTTTTTATTTTAATTTATTATTTATGAATTTTAAGATATATAAAAAATTATGAATTTTACTTTTAAGTTCTAGAAATTTATTTTAATTTTAACTATTTAATGATATTATATATTTACATAATAAATTATTGAAGAAAATAATATATATTGGTAACACTTCTATATTCCTTCTTGTATTATCTCACTTTTCTTAAAATATTATTATTTTTTTATTCAACAAAATATTTTCAATACTAATATTCTTCAATAATAAAATATTAAAATTTGTTAAATTAAAAAATTAAATATTTAAGTAATTCCAAAATTATATTTACTTTTTTTACTAGAATATATTCTTACCTTTTTTTTTAAAAAAAAAAATTATCCTTATCTTAAAAAATAATACTCAAATTCGCTAATTAATAAATTATCCTTAATTTTTGTATGTTGTTTAAAAAATATTTATGAAATTAAAAAATATATTAAAAAATACAATTTTTTTTTTTAAAAAAAAAAGGATATTAATGTTTTTCTTTAAAGTTAATACTTTTAATTTTTTCAAAAAAATTTAATAAAAAAGTTTAAAAATATTAAGGTTATTCCGGTAATTTTCAATTTTTATTTTAGAAAAATTTGTAAGAAAAAAATATTTTTCAGACAAATTGAGTTTTTTTTTTAATAAATTCAAGCTATTAAAATTAAAAAAATAAAAGCGCGTGCAGTGCACGAAGTAGAGAATTAATGGCAATATAACGGAACGGCAGTCGAATGCAGCATGTAGTCCCGCATGTGAGCCCAAATCAAGGGAGGCCATTTTCTTGGCAGGCGCTTGACGCAGCCCCCGGCTAGCGTTGAACTCGATCCAAATTAGTAACTCTTGCGGAAGAAAAATCGAAATTAAATTCTCCATTTTCCTTTGATGCTCTTACTTTCCGCTTTTGTGCAGCTTAAATCATAATTGTTTTTACCAACGCGCAGAATTTATAATGGGGATCCAATGCACTTGGACACTCCAGCGGGTTCAATTTAGGCCTTCCGTTTTGTTCCGGTGTATTAATACTAATCCAAGACCAAATTCTCTTCGCTCATCTGTTTTCGCCACCATGTCCTCCGTTTCCACTGAAAAGAGCGTCGATTCTGACCAGAAAGGATCGAACAACGACACTCAGAAGCCATTGCAGGTAAATCCTGGCTTCCTAATCTCTTATTCCGTTCTGTTTGATTGCGATGGGGGATTTGATTTTTCATCGCCCGCGGATTCTGTCGCCTCTCGGTGGAAATGGGTTTGGTATTGTCATGTTTTTGTTCTTTGGGTAATGCTTAGATTGTGGATTTTGTTTTCGTTTCTTGCACTACCTTATGCTTGATTATCGAGCTTAATTTACTGTGATTTCATTAGCGAGTGCAAATTTAGGGTTTGTGATTTGTTGGGGGAGCTTGGAAAGGGATTTTGCGATTCTTAATGCAGGAAGAGGTGGGTTTTGATTGGTTTCTGTCTTTTGTGGTCTGTAATCTTTGGGGGCGTTTAGAATTGGATAACTATCTGGTTATTGTGAAAGGTTTTGTTATGTGGCTTGTGTTACTGCTCCAAGTTCTTTTATGTTCATGGACCCACTTATCAATGAACATGTTGTTAGGAACACGACTCTCCACAATGGTACGATATTATCCACTTTGAACATAAGCTCTCGTAGCTTTTCTTTTGGTTTCTCAAAATGGCCTCATACCAATGGAGATATATTTCTTACTTATAAACCCATGATCAACTCCTTAATTAGCTGATGTAGGACTCTCCTGAGGTCTATGGAGCCCTCGAATAACCTCACCTTAATTGAGGCTCGACTCCTTCTCTAGAGGCTAGAAGCTTCGAAAAAAGTACGGAAATACTTGAGTGTGTGTTTGGAATGGCTTATTAAAAAAACACTGAGTGTTTTTAGAACTTTCAATATTAATCCTCACCCTGTACAAAATACACCATAGAGCCTCCCCTGAGGTCTATGGAGCCCTCGAATAACCTCACCTTAATTGAGGCTCGACTCCTTCTCTAGAGGCTAGAAGCTTCGAAGAAAGTACGGAAATACTTGAGTGTGTGTTTGGAATGGCTTATTAAAAAAACACCTGAGTCTTTTTAGAACTTTCAATATTACTATCTACTCAAAAACTAATCTCAAACTCACCTTTACACTTTTGTTGTCAGCATCACAGGAATCTGAACTTTCAGATTCCTTTTTACGAACTATAAGCTTTTGTATTGCTCTTACAACTTACCAACCAACTCTCCACTTACCCAAAAAATTTGTAACTATGATGGTTTATGAAGTACTCCAACTCTGCTTCCTTTTTTGGGAAATTCCATCGGGTTTTGGGGGATTCCTTACTGTCGTCTTCTGTGAGATCCCACGTCGGTTGGGGAGGAGAACGGAACATTCTTTATAAGGGTGTGGAAACCTCTCCCTAGAAGATGCGTTTTAAAACCTTGAGGGGAAGCTCGGAAGAAAAAACCCAAAGAGGACAATATCTGCTAGTGGTGGGTTTGAGCAGTTACGTCTTCTATTCTTTGGTGCTCAAAAGAAGTTCCATTTCTTATCAAACTAAAAAAGTTATGGGTTTATTTTCTACCTCTGGTTGTTCAGTCATACCATTGGATTTGTTTGTATGTCACAGAATGGTCCTCTAGTATTTAGTAACCAGTTGATATTACTGATATTTAGACAAGCAAATCGGAAGCTCGAGTTGAATTTTCTGGTGAAGCAATGGCACCTAGTGAAAGCTGTACTATTGCATATATACTGATGTGGCTTTATGTTTTCAATGGAGCATGCTTCACTTCAATCATTTGCGCACTTTTTGTGAGATCCCACGTCCTTTAGAGAGGGAAACAAGGCATTCCTTATAAGGGTGTGGAAACCTCTCCCTACCAGACGCGTTTTAAAACCTTGAGGGGAAGTCCAGAAGGAAAAGCTCAAAGAGGACAATATCTACTAGCGGGGGGTCTAGGCTGTTACAAATGGTATCAAAGTTAGACAATGAGTGGTGTGCCAGCAAGGATTTTGGGCCCCCTAGGGGTGGATTGTGAGATCCCACATCGTTTAGAGAGGGAAACGAAACATTCCTTATAAGGTTGTAGAAACCTCTCCCTACCATACGCGTTTTAAAACCTGAAGGGGAAACCCAGAAGGGAAAGCCCTAAGAGGACAATATTAGCCAGCGGTGGGCTTGAGCAGTACTTTCCTTCTCTAATTACCAATCCTATCTTTTGTACTAAATGACTGCTGTTATGTTGCTCGTTCAGTATTTGTTTCTTCTTATCCTTCGACAATGTCGAGTGAATATCGATGATGATTGTAATGCTTGGATGCTCATATGTTCTGGTGCCTAAATTTTGATTCCTATTTGGCTGAAGAAGCTTTAGATATTTCAAATATGTATATTAGATAACTGGAACTTACATGTTCTCTTTTAGTAAGGAAGAGATTAGTAAGGACTATATGCTTGAATGTAAGGATCGTTCTTGTTCTGTTTGGTAGGTTTCGAATCGGCTTGAAAAGTTCAAAACAACCATTTTCACTAGAATGAGTAACTTAGCGATCCAATATGGCGGAATAAACCTCGGCCAAGGCTTCCCGAACTTTGACGGTCCCGAATTTGTAAAGGAAGCAGCAATTCAAGCCATCAAGGACGGGAAAAATCAATACGCTCGTGGATATGGAGTGCCAGATTTGAACTTGGCCATTGCTGAGCGATTCAAGAAAGATACTGGACTTGTGGTCGACCCCGAGAAGGAAGTTACCGTTACCTCCGGGTGCACCGAGGCAATTGCTGCAACCATGCTTGGCTTAATAAATCCTGGTGATGAGGTGATCCTTTTTGCTCCTTTTTATGACTCTTATGAAGCCACTCTATCAATGGCTGGTGCCAAAATCAAATGCATCACGTTACGCCCTCCAGATTTTTCGATCCCTATAAATGAGCTCAGGTCTGCAATCTCAAAGGATACTCGAGCAATCCTTATGAACACGCCCCACAACCCAACGGGAAAAATGTTCACGAAGGATGAATTGAACGAGATTGCTTCTCTCTGCATCGAGAACGATGTGTTAGTTTTCTCTGATGAAGTTTATGACAAGTTATCTTTCGAAATGGACCACATCTCCATAGCCTCTCTTCCAGGAATGTACGAGCGCACCGTTACGATGAATTCATTAGGAAAAACATTCTCCCTCACCGGTTGGAAGATCGGGTGGGCGATCGCTCCACCTCACTTGACATGGGGCGTTCGACAGGCACACGCTTACCTTACTTTCGCTACCTCCACTCCAATGCAGTCAGCTGCTGCTACAGCTCTCCGAGCACCCGATTCTTACTACGAGGAGCTGAAGAAGGACTACATGGCAAAGAAAGCCATTTTAGTAGAGGGACTGAATGCAGTTGGGTTCAAGGTGTTTCCATCAAGCGGAACCTACTTTATCATCGTCGATCACACCCCTTTCGGGCTGAAGAACGACGTCGAGTTTTGCGAGTATCTGATCAAAGAAGTCGGCATTGTTGCTATTCCGACGAGCGTGTTCTACCTAAACCCAGAAGATGGGAAGAATCTAGTGAGATTTACATTCTGCAAAGATGAGAACACACTCAGGGCGGCGGTGGAGAAGATGAAGGAGAAGCTAGTTGGGAAGTAAGTCCTGATTGATCAGAGCAACCTTAGTTTCGTCGAACAATAAAATTTTCACTCACAAATGCTTCCATTGGTGTCGCTTTTAAGTTAGCTGTTTTCCCAGCTGCTTTGCTCTTCAATTTATTGCATCAATCAATGGATAAATCTAATCGAATAACGATTTCAGTTGTTTTTTTTTTATTTTTTATGGGTCAAAATAAAATATAATTGGCAAGTAAAAATAATAATTGATTTGAAAATTGAATAAAAAAAATATAACTATCTTAAATAATAATAACAAAACATAATTTAAAAAAGCTAAATTAGAAAAATATATATTTATGAATTTTGTATCATGTCTTGAAAGTACTCGTTAATTTTTGTTTTAAAAATATAATTAATTTTTAAATAATTTCAAAAATACCTTAAACTTTTAAAAATGTTTCAAAAAAATTTATTAATATAAATTAAAAATATATATATTTATGAATTTTCTATCATGTCTTAAAAAGTACTCAGTTAATATTTGTTTCAAAAATATAATTAACTTCGTTAATATTTGTTTCAAAAATATAATTAACTTCGTTAATATTTGTTTTAAAAATATAATTAATTTTTAAAATCAGTTCAAATATACCAACTTTTAAAAATGTTTCAAAATTTTTTATTAATATCAATTTAAAAAAAAAAATTAAAATCCATTCTAAAAAAATAGTCATTATTAAAATATTTATAGATAATGAGGTGTTATTTTTGAAGTAACATTAAAATATTTATAGATTATTAGGTGCCCATAGATGGTAAGAATTTTTTTTAACATTTTTTTATAAAAATAAATGTGTTAATGCTATTTTAAAAATTTTATAGGTATTTTTTTAAACATATTACTATTTTTTTCGAAGGATATTATTTTTTTTGTTATTTTTATTAATTTATTGAGTACCACAAACAAATTTAAGAATAAAAAAGAACATTAAAAAAACGCATTTAAAATTTTAAAAATCCTTAAAAAAAATTATTTATGTGTATGAAATCTACCAAAATATTTAGGCTTACCTATTCAACAAACAAAGAGAGCGTAGTCCCCAAAAAATCCGCCCAACTATGGTTAGAGTGGTCCCGATCGTCCGATCAGATTATGATTACCAATTCAACGGTGATTAGACCACGACGCAACTGACTTAACCCAATATCACCAACATGGAATCATTATCATCGCCCATATGTCAAAGGCGGGACTAATCCGACGACCCTAAACTTCCCGCCCAGACCAGATAGACGCACAATTCAATCCGACCGTCCAAATAATCAACGGCCCACATGACACGCTAGTCTTCACTGGGCCCCACCCAAGGATTCTCGGTATAAATATATAAACCTGGTCCATCTTTTCCGATTCGCACCATTTTTTATCCTTTTTTTTTCAATCAAAACCGAGGGAAACCGAAAGAAACTCCACTCCCTTCTTCGTCTTCTTCAATCTTCTCCTTCGCTTTATCTCCTTTTTTCTTTGTTTGTTTGCTAAATTTCGCCCTGTGTGTACTGCTAATCCGGCGCCGTCGCTCTGGAATGTTGCCGGCGGAGGGTAGAACTACTTTTCTCTCAACTATTTCGAGGTATAGGAGTGGTTTTTGAAGGAGGAAAGTCGAAATTGAAGATACTCGGAGATTCGGATTCTGATTCGGTCTTCATCGGCCTCGTAATGGATGGTTCGAAAAGTCAGTTGAAGCTTACAAGGACTCAGTCGTCGTTACTTCGTTCGTCGCCCACTTTCCGAACGTCTGTTCATAGTTTATCGTCCGTCACCGAGGAGGATCTCATCGCCATCCATCAAGAGGATGATGATGAAGAGAAGCAGAGGCCTAAGAAGCCTCGTAGGTCCAGTTCGTCATCGAGAGCCGGATTGAATCGATTTGCGAACCGTGTTGTTGCTATGGCTTTGCTTGTTTGCTTTACCTTCTTCTCTTTGCTCATTGCGTTCTTCTTTCTGAAGAAGGATGGGATACTCCCGTCGGCTTGCTTGTTGGCTCTGATTTTTGTTGCTATTATGCTTGTATTTGTGAGCAAGAATAAGGGATTAATTTTACATGTTCTTTCGTTTATAAAGCATTCTTGGCAAGAAAATGCCAAGAGATTCTGTTTCTCCAGGACGGATTCGACTCCTATTCAGTGGTACATTGGTGATTCGAACGGAGCCGAAGACGACAACCAAAATCAGAGAAAAATTAGCAGAGAGGGGGTAGAGTTCTATAGCAATGGTGATTTCTACGAGGGAGAGTTTCACAACGGGAGTTGTAATGGAAGTGGGGTTTATAACTATTTCCTAAGTGGGAGATACGAGGGAGATTGGGTCGATGGGAGGTACGATGGCCATGGGGTTGAGACCTGGGCGAAGGGGAGTCGTTACAGGGGTCAGTATCGACAGGGTCTTAGACATGGATTTGGAGTCTACAAGTTCTTCACGGGGGATTACTATGCTGGTGAGTGGTCTAATGGCCAAAGCCATGGCGTTGGGCTTCAGACTTGCGCTGATGGTAGCTGCTATGTTGGCCAGTTCCACCGCGGCGTTAAGCATGGTCTTGGATCTTACTATTTCAGGTATGTCTCTTGATTTTTTAGCTCTAAATGGTTTCCCTGAAGCTTTCGCGTGCTTGAATTTCATCTGTTTGCTCTTTTTGGATCTTGATTGCTTGCAGTTAATACAACAGTGAAATATCTGAGCCCAAAAATTTGGTTGTAAGGTGTCTTGGGCGTTGGATCTAAGCTCAATTTGGTTGCATTTATGGAAGGAATCTGGTTGATTATCTTTGTATAAACGTAATCTTGCTAGAATTGGTAACTATGGTCATCTTGTTCCAGGGTGTTTCTTCATTTGTTTTAGTTTTATGAACATCTGGGTTCTGAAGCGATTTGGTTATCTTATTACTTAAATCAAAGAAACGTCTCTGTTTGGAGTTTGCTTCCTCTTTGACTGTGCATAATATTTTCAAATCTGCATATGGAATGTGTAATAGAAGATTGTGAGCTCAATTTGACTTTAAGCTGCATAATGGGCTGCTCCTTTATGACCCATGTCATTAATTATCTTATTCATTACGCATTTAGCGCTGAAATGTCGTTGGTTTACTGATAAACTAGCTGGCTGGTTTTCTGTTGGGGGTACATAAATTTAATTACAATCCCAAAATGCATTTGCCTGTGCTGTAGAAATGGAGATAGATATGCTGGAGAGTACTTTGGGGACAAAGTTCATGGTTTCGGAATCTACCATTTCGCGAATGGCCATTGTTACGAAGGATCATGGCATGAAGGCCAAAGGCAAGGATATGGCACGTATACGTTCCGAAACAGCGAAGCCAAATGCGGTGGATGGGATGCTGGTAGCCTCAAGCAGCCTCTCTCGCCGCTGAGCGAGGCCGTTGTTGAAGCTGTTCAGGTATACCTAATTGATCACTAGTCACCATTGTTGTGAGAAATGTAGCTCTTACTGAGAATTGAGGTGATTGTAATCATGTTTATACAAACTGCAGGCATCTAGAAAGGCAGCAAGGAATGCTATAAACCTTCCCCGATGGGATGAACAAGTGAATAAAGCTGTGGTTGCTGCTAATAGATCGGCCACCGCGGCCCGAGTCGCAGCCATCAAAGCCGTTCAAAATCGAATGGACGGTAAGTTCTGCGATTCGGATGTGTAAGTCTCTGCTTGTTGCTAATTTTACAAGGCAGGCAAAAACAAAAACCCTGGTGGCTGCAAACTCACCGGAGGTGTTTTCAAGTATGTATCAGCATCACTCTTCAACTTGTACATTCCATGTATATTAATGAATTAGAGCACTTTTTGGTCTCTGTTTCTGTAGATTTCAACTCTATTGCCCACACTCAATGGTCCCTAAGCTATATACCTTGATATCTATTTCTGTATCATCAAGCCAAGCCATCTCTATCCGTAGAATTCCTTATTATTTCATTTAAATGATTCCATGGTCTCAAATTCAAACCCAAACACCATAATACCATTATTTTTTAGGGTAGGTGGACGCAAAAAGGGGAAATTTGTAGCCCATATAGCTTAAACCTTTTGACTTTAGAAATAATTCCAACTTCATTCAAATCTCGTGGTTAAATCTCATGCTCGTACTTGTTGAAAAAAAGAAGGTTTTTATATTCCAAGTATGAACAAAACTCAGATGAATTGATATGCTCTATTAAGAACCACGAACCTTTTAATTAGCCAATGTGTGACTACTACTCTCAATAATCCTCCATTCGAATAGAGTACACCATAGAGCTTCCTCTGAGACCTTATTCTCTGGAACTCTCGAACAACGTACATCATAACTAATGTGGGATTACTACTCTCAATAATCTTCGGGATGTGAATTAAAATTTGGATTTTTTATGATGCCAATGAGAGGAAGGCATGTGCCATGATTCTGTCCCATGGGATAATATGGTTGCTTTTGGTCATAATTTTTACACATAGCCATTGGCTCCATCATGTGTCTGATGGTGCAGATTACTTCTTTTCTACCAATAAAACTCTCTCTCTCTCTCTCTTCAAACTCATCATGAGTTAAATCTTTTTCTTTCTTACTTTTGCTTTCAATTTGACTTTTTAATAAACTTATTTTACTTTCCAACTGCTTTTGCTTACTATTCTCATTAGTTTAAATGCTTACCTCCCATTCAAATCTTACTAATATCCATGGAATCCATTTCCAAAAAGAAAAAGTTAAAAACTTTTATAAAGAGTTCTCGAACTCTTGATTCAACAGATTCATCCCCTCATCGTTAAGTCGAATGATAAGTAATTACAAGTCTAAAGACCCTTTAGGCGTTTTTGAAATTCAAAGATCGAATCAAACACAAACGTCAAAGTTGGAGGCTAAACAAGAGTTGATTACAAATTCAAAAGTTCAAAGACGAGAAGGTGAATTTGAATGAAGATGAAGAGGCAAAGAAAAGGATGTCCAACAAAAACAAAAAGGATAAAGGAAAGAGGAAGGAAAAGGTGGGGAATGAAGAAGACAACTCCAAAAACATGTTACAATGAGAAGCTTAAGAATTGGATTTTCGTGGTTACGACCTTTTTTTAATGCTCAATGACAACCTCTCGATAGTCATTGTTCGGCCTCTCTTACTACCATAGTAGCTCCTAATGTGATCAGCACCAATCGTATTCAGGTCACAAAGCTTACACATTCACAATGATTCATTAATTCCGCTTTTTTTTTATAGAGAAAAAAACATAAGTGTTGCAAAGCTTAAATCTCTCTATCAACACTCTGTCTACTCAAAACATGCAAACATGGAGGAAGACAGGCACTGTCTGCGAGTGTTCTTTGTGTTTTTGCATTATTTTTTGCTGTCTCTTTCTCCAACTTCTTCTTCCACTTTCCCCATTTTTCTTATTATTCTATGATTCTTTTTTTTCTTTTTCTTTTTCTTTTTTTTTTACATTTTTGTTGGGTTTTATTTTTTTCATAATCAACTTTATCCCTTGGGATATGTAATTCAAAATAAATTATTTTAAATATCAAAACATATTTTTTACTCGATATAAATAATACACTAATTATCATTTCAAAATATTTTAAAATTAAACTTGACAAATTTAGTGCATAATTTCAAATCGATCTCATTTAAGACATGAAAAACGAGATAATCATTCCGAATAACCTTTCTATGAACTATTAACAACTATAGAATAAGCAACCAATTTAAATTATCTAAGAAAACGACCCTTTCATCCTTACCTTCGCAATTATTGAGCTAATATATAAACAATTAATAGGGCTATATGGGTTTTGTTGTATGCATTTGACCATGAACAATATTGGTTAAAAATGCAAGACATTGCACATATGACTGTTACCCACCAAATAAAAAGAAATAATTTTGATAGCAATTAAAAAAAGAAAAATCCCACAATGATTCTTTACAAAATCCACTTTCTTTGTCATTTTCTCTACTTACAGATTCCAATAACACTCAATAATGCAACCATTTTTCATTTATGGATAAATATTTATAAAAATAAAAAAAAATTAAATAAAAAAGGGGTAAAATTGCAAAGTGGTGTATGAAAGGTTCTTTAATTTGAGAATTTTCTAGTTTTTGGGGTTTTTTTTTGTATTATTTTTACCCTTCCTTTTTTGATGATAGAAGAAATTAGCATCACAGGTGGGATTGAAAGCAACTTGGGGTATATTTCAAAAGCAAATACCCCAACTTTACTGTTTTTTTTTTCTTTGTTCTTTTAGCGTTTGTGTTAATGTTCGTAATTTTATGGTAAAATTGCAAGTTTCCGTATAATCCAAAAAAAAATCTATTTATTGTTAAATGAACACGACTCTCGACAATGGTAACATCTTGTCTATTTTGAGTATAAGCTCTCGTGCCTTTGTTTTGGGCTTCCCAGAACGCTTCAGACCAATGAAGATTGTATTTTTTTTTATTATAAACTCATGATTATTCTCTAAATGGGTCGAGGTGGGACTTTCATCATCGAACACTTGTCCCTAAAATAAGTTTCTAGCCATTTCAATTTTTTAACCGAAATTATCAATCTATTAGATATAAATGTAAATTTTATGTCTGAAGGAAACTCTAAAATTTTAATTGTGTCTGATAGGTCTATAAATTTAAAAAGTTTGAAAATTAATGGATTAAATTTATAATTTTAGAAGTTTATATTACACAAGCTTATAAGTCATTTTCAACACACACGAGATCGTGTCATTAATAATATACATACAAAAAGGAAAGATTCCAAATTTAATTTTATATCTTTAAAAGAAAATCAAGGGTTTTTTCCTTTTAATTAAATTAAATGATGAATAAGACTTATATTTTGACTTTGTAACCTTTGAAAGCCGACCATACACAAACTTCAAATTGCATTCATAATCATTCATTTATATCATTCTTCACACAAAATCTATGAATATATATATATATAAAACACTGTTTTCTTAAAAGCGATTTTAAACGTGTTTTTTTTAAAAAAAAATTGTCCCTATTTTCTATAATATTTTATGAGGAACGAGCTGGAGACTTACTTACTCGAAGGTAAGAGTAAGTGTCACACAATTGCACTGTAAGTCTTTAAAGAACGAGATTGTGACCGTTAGTGTGTATGTGTATGAGAGAGGGTTTTAAAAAAAAAAGTGTTTTTCTATATTTATTCACTTTGTTTTTAACTAAAAATTAAGTAACGTAGATAATTCAAACCTTTGACGTTTTGGTTGAAGGCATATCTTATTCAGTCGTGTATTTCATAGCATGACAAATCAACGACCCGATAAACACTCCATCTCTTAATTAGTATTTGTTGGTTGAACAACACAAAGTGTAGTTTTAACTTCTACACAATGGCATTTTGGGAATGCAATCAAAATGTTACAAAGTCATGTCTTCAACCAAATCAAACCATACAAACAAAAATGTCAAATGAGTGAATTCAAATAAAATAATTGGAAGGTGAACCACCAAAAACCATTATTATGTGTCATTTTAGTCCCCAACATCATGTCACGGAGTTGGTGAAGAAACCTCATATATATATATATATATGTATACACACACACATACACGGACATAGACATGTCCACGGAGCGGGCGGAGATGGGAAAGCCTTCTCCGCCACCTAATTCATTGGAATGAGGAACTCAATACAAGAGATTTGCAGAAAATGGGTTTAGGAAATATATATTGTAAGGTGTTGAAAATATATTTATATTAAGATAGGCAGGGACGGAGAATATAATCCCGTTCCCGACCCCATTTATCAAACAAGAAAAAATATTCTCCACTCCGTCCCCCATTCCCGTCTAATTTCCCGCAAGGCCCGCTGTCTCGTACGTAAATTGACATCTCTATACACGTGTGTATCCTAATTTAGTTTTTATTCTTTTTAAATTTTAAAATTATATTATCTAAGTTGTTATATGCCAAAGTCTCACCAATTAAAATTCAGAAATGTGTTTATTTTTAATTTAAATAAATAGTCATGGGAACGTATTAGAACAATTGGGCCGGATTATAACAACTTTGAGCCCAAAAAGTTGCCATCCTGAGAAAGATTCGGCCCAATAAGCCTCCACGGGGTGGCCATCCTTTTTTTTTTTTTTTTTTTAATTTGGTGAATTTTTGAACTTATAGCCACACTAACCATGTTCTTCATTCAAATTATTAGGGTATTAATACTCAATACCACCATCCTATTATTTTAATTTTGTTAATTAATCTATAAAATATATATAATATGATTAATTCATTTCAAATCATTATCCTATCCTATTATACTTTCGACGTTAATTTATAATAATTTATAAGAGAATGAATATCATATTCAATAAAGAATAATTATTTTTACCTGTTACAATCACACTCTTACAATAGCAGGATAGCGATTGTGTGGCACTCGTTCTAACCAAGCGAAGAAGTCAGTCACGAGAAATTCGGACATCGAGACAACGTCAGCATATGTTTGGGTCTTGAGTCACTGTGCAAGAAAAGGTTCAAAAAACGTGAGTGAAGAAATACATTCGAAAACAAAGAATAATCATCTTTACCTGTTACGATCGCACTCTTACAATAAGAGGATAGCGATTGTGCGACATTTGTTCTAACCGAGTGAACAAGTTAGTCACGAGAAATTCAGACGTCGAGACAACGTTAGCATATGTTCGAGTCTCGAGTCACTGTGCAAGAAAAGGTTCAGAAAACGTGGGTGAAGACATACATTTGAAAACAATTTAAAGAATCGAATAAAGCAATGCTATAGGACTGTAAGCAAATAAAGAAATACCAAGTCACTCCAAATAAATTAAATTAATAAAAGAGAGAAGGAGACGAAGCGAAGCTCGTAACACTCATCCTTGTCTTCATCTCCACGAAACAATCTGAAACTAAACAAACCTCAGAATACAGAAATGGCGGCTGTCGGAATTGCTTCTGCAAAACCAGGAAGCCATTCCTTTCTCCCGTCCTCTCCCATCGTTTTCCGATATATATAATCTTCCCATATTCCGATTCCCTTTCCCAAATCCTTTCATAATATAACAAAACTACCCATGGCTTTGAGCCCACCTCCCCGCACAACCAACGACCGCCGCCATGCCAGAACCTTCCACCTCTACTGGTGCCACCAATGCCATCGGACCGTCACCCTCGCCTCCGCAGAACCGTCGGACCTCACATGCCCACGCTGTTTCGGCCACTTCGTTGAAGAGGTCCACCTCCCCCTCCCCGAACTCGATCCTTCACCGGAGACTCGTTTACTCGAAGCTCTCTCACTAATGCTAGACCCACCGGTTCGTCTCTTCAATTACCGACACCCAGACCCGGACCGCCGCCGTCCACCGCTGCATAGGTTCGACGATTTCGACCGGAGATCATTTAGCGATCCGGAAGGGGACGAATGGCTGCACTGGCGAACACGACGGCGCAGTCGAAGCCTGGATGAGAGGGACAATTCCGGCCGACAACCCCCAAATCCGAACCAGTCTCGAACTGTCATAGTTCTCGGTCCCCCCGACCAGTTTCAGCCGATTCAGCCCATAATACCTCGGAGAGCCAATCCAAGAGACTACTTTACCGGGCCAAGACTCGACGAATTAATTGAAGACCTGACACAGAACGATCGGCCAGGGCCACCGCCGGCAGGGGAGGAGGCGATCGAGAGGATACCGACGGTGAAGATAGCGGCGGAGCATCTGAAGAACGACTCGCAGTGTCCAGTTTGTAAGGAGGAGTTTGAGGTGGGGGGAGAAGCAAGGGAATTGAGTTGTAAGCATTTATACCATTCGGAGTGTATAGTTCCGTGGCTTCGGCTTCACAACTCTTGCCCAGTTTGTAGGCAAGAGATACCGCCATTGCCGCCGGAGAATGGAGCGGCGGGAAATTCTGAAAATGGAGTACGGATAGGGAGAGCATGTACCAGGTGGTGGAATCGGTTGGCGTCTTGGCTATTTCGGAATAGGTATAGGCAGATTAGTCCTTCAAGTCCACCGAACCGCTTCAATGCTTCTTCTTATCCAGGTGATGTCTAATTTATTTTGTGGGATAAAAATTAATAAAACATCTATTAATTTTCCCATTTGTCTAAAAAAAAATATCTTAAAATTTCTCTTAAATTATTTGAAAATACCCTTTAATTTCTTCAAATTTTTATTAATACCCTCTTAAAAACTTAAAAAACAGTATTTTAAAACTTTTTTTTAAAAAAATTGTGACAAATATAAAGTTTGCGAGTATTTTTTATTTTTATTTATTTTATTTTTGTCGTTACTATGTCTTCAAAATATTGGATCCTCACAAGGGAAATTGACATTTGATTAAAAAAGATTTGTACGAACATAAATGAAAGATGCACATGCAATAATTTGAGACCTATCGATGATGGTGGTGAACTCTTATGTTTCTAATGGGAGACAAAATCATGTCCGGGAAAGAAATCAATCCACTCTTCCTAAGGAAAAAAAAAACATTTTTACAATAAAAATTAGCAAGAAAAATTAAAAATGGGTTGTTGAATTTTTCTAAATTGAAAATAAAATAATAAAAAGTGACGAGAACATAGCTGAAGTATTTCTATTCTTCCCAATTTTAATCCATTTACCAGAAATTAATTCATGGGGTGGTTCATCGTACCTCTCTTCCTTAGCCCTTCGAATGACGATATTTTTGCTGCAAATAACTTGGATTTTACTTCATTAGGAATGTAAATACGTGAGCTCATATACTGGAAAAGACGAACATAATCATTAGATTCGTTACCAGGATGAATTTGGTATGATGCCACTCCACTGCCTGCTTTCAAATAGCTTCTCATTATCTACAGTTTCAGCCAAGCACCGATAAGATGATTCAAGTCTTTGATCTGCAGAAATGAGATTGTCTTCAAAGATCATAGTTTCCAAAATGTACAATTTCTTATACCTGATTGTGTTAACTCAAAGCATAAACTAAAACGTTTTTCTTAAGCCATTGCAAGATTTCTCCCCCAATTTATACCATCTCATGCAATAAATATTCAACAATGAGCATAAAAACATGTAAATGCATGAAGAACAATGATAATACCACACTTACTAAAGAATTTCTATGTAAATGATTCGAGGTTACTAAGTCTTTACCTTGTTGGTAGATTGAAGGTTGGCGTTAGGATGCTAATTTCTCCACATTTGAGTGGCTCGAACTTTGGGTACAGGTTTGATGTTGTTGGGAACAATGACCCTCCACATTGGTACAATATTATCCACTTTGAGCATAAGTTCTCGTGGTTTTACTTTTGGTTTTTCCAAAAAGTCTCATGCCAATGGAGTTAATCTCCCTCCCTTATATACCCATGATCTTCCAATTAGCCAATGTGGGACTCCAATAATTCTCAAGAATCTTCCCCTCGAACAAAGTACACCACAAAGCCTCCTCTAAGATCTCATTCTCTTGAGCCCTTGAATAGCCTCCCCTTAATTGAGACTCGACTCCTTCTCATAAACCCTTAAACAAAGTACATCATTCGCAACACTTGAGTCACTGTGACTACACTTTCGAGACTCACAATTTCTTTATTCGACGCTTAAGGATTCTATTGACATAGTTAAGTTAAGGTGAGAGCATGACTCTGATACCATATTAGGAACATCCCCATTAGTATAACATTGTCTACTTTGAACATAAGCTCTAATGTCCTTACTTTTAGTTTTTCCAAAAGGCCTCGCGCCAACGGAGTTAGTGTCCCTCACTTATATATCACTTAGTCAATATGGCAAAACTAGACATCAATTATGATCAGGCTATACAGCAGTTATGCAAAGAGTTGAACATCAATTATTATTTAGCAACAGAAGTGGTTGGCAAAATCCTAGAAAGCGGTGGGGAAAAAAATTCGCCTGTGTAAGTATAAAACGAACTTAAAGGCAAAACTAGATATCCTAACCAAACCTATCATTTAGTTACCCCAATTCTTCAGTCCTGAAGCAACAAAACCTACATATATTACTTTGTCTCCCCTATCTTTTTGTGCTATATAGCTTATAAGCATAAGCTTCATATACTACCTGCAACTGCCTTAGGCTTCTTGTCCGTAACACCATGATTTTCAAGAAATGAACCCCTGCAAGATCTAACAAAATAAAGTGAAAGAATTATCACACAGCCAGAATTTCCCTGAAAATGCTAGTTCTAACCTTAAGTTTCTTGTCCAATGTTTCCTCGGAAGCCATTCTCAGACCTCCTTTACCCAAACCAAGCCTTGCAGATAGAACTTCATGACTAAAATGCACCATGAATCACATCGCACTATAAATATATGATCATAGACTTTTTCTCTTCAGACCTAAAAAAAAACTTAGTAGGAATCACAGGCACTAGTAAAGTGTACAGACCTTTTAGGAATATTTTGGTGTCTGCTGATGCAGAATCAATATAGTATCTGTTCTTTTTGTCCTGCCAATTAGTGGAAAGTATCGCAGATGTTATAAACCTACGCTGTAATATAGAACGCATTTAGAAACAGTTTGTTCAGATGTCTACCTTCAAGAACAGATTCTTACTGAGTCCACCGCCCAAATTCTCAACATATTTTGCTTGATGTTGATTCGGTAGAAAATACTCTTCCGTTAGCTTGCAAGGAAATTAACATTAGAATTACCTGTGCTTCAACCGCCAATACAGCAGGATGTTCGTATCTGGAAAAATCAATTTGAAGCTCCTACAGAGATTTATTGACTACATTAGCGAGAGACAATAAGAAACAAAACGGAAAATCAAATAAACATAATCTAGTCATCAGATATCAATCTGGAAACGATGAACAATGAAGAAAACAAGTTCACTCCCTAATCTAGAGGAAATCACTGAGGCATCGTACAAACTAATCTACCGCTCTGTTCCAGAGCTAATCCAAGCAAGTGATTATAACGCCAATACCAAAGAAATGAGAATGATCGGAGTTCTACAAAAGCTCTACAACAGGCCTCTAACGTTCGATCGGGAGAAAAGACCTACGCTCTCGAGTACAGCACGAGGCATAAACTTAAGCCATGGAAATTGATAAACGAGAACGAAAAGGAGCGAAAAATCCAAGTACCTGCAACAGCGAAAGCAACTCTTCCCTGGTGACAACCTCCTCCGCCATACTGAAGGAGAAAGCACAAATTCAGAGCAAAGAAGTACGCCGGAGAGATTAGGCCTTGAGGACGAAAGTTTACACCAAGATGAAACACCTTTGGAAATCCAAACTCAACAACCAGACTGGTATAAATCCATGTCGCAATCGCTGATTTAGCTCCCCTTGCTTTCTTGGACCAACGGTCCAAATCGATCCACAGCCGAAACCCAAATTTAGCCCGACCGAGTCAAACCCGGCCCATCACAATTTTCAGATAATTCTAAATTTAATCCCTAATCTTTTAAAATTCTTAATTTTATCCTTATATTCCCAAAATTTTCAATTAATCCCCATATTTAAAAAAAAAATTAAAATTTTTAAATGGTAATTATAGTCTAAATACTCATACGTTTAAATATATTAATAAAACAATAATTTAATGATAATAAAAATAAAATCGAAATATATAAAAGAATTGAATGGTGGTTGAAATTTGCATAGAGCCAATGGGGTCCTAAAAGATCTTATAAATTAGTTTGTTTCGTTGAGCACCATGGTCCGTGATGGTCCGTGAGGCTACCCAACACGGTCCAAATGCAATGTAGCACAAACGGTCCAAGATGGGGGTCACCCATTTATTTAATTTACATCGGTTTGTTTCTTTTTTTATAAATATTTTTTAATTCTAGGGAAGTTTAATAATATAATAATTATTATTAAATTAATAAAACTACATTTTAACTTTGCATTTTTGTAAAGGCATTTTTTACCTTTTTTTTTTTATAATTATATTTAAAAAATTAGTGTATTATTTGACAAAATATAAGTTTTTTTTTTTTATTAATTTAGTTTATTATTATTCATGGGTTGGAAAATGACATAGATATTAAACACACACAGTGAG